CCAGAGCAGCATCCCTGCCTTCCAGAGCAGCATCCCTGCCTTCCAGAGCACCATCCCTGCCTTCCAGAGCAGCATCCCTGCCTTCCAGAGCACCATCCCTGCCTTCCAGAGCAGCATCCCTGGCTCCTAGGGCAGCATCTCTGGCTCCCAGAGCAGTTGTCCACCCTCTGCTCGGTGCCAGGCCGAGTCTGTGGTGCTGAGCAGTGTTTCATAACCAGCCAGAACTGGAGTCAGAACCCTCTGCAATGCATCAGGACTGCAGCTCCTGCCCCGAGCACTCCCAGTGCCTTCAGCACCATCCCCACTCCACATTGTGCTTGTCCACAAGGTAGAAACGTGCATTTCTCTGGATTTACTGCCAGCAATCATCCCCAGCAGGAAATCAAAGCCTGCCCCAACGTGCTCCTTTGTCACCAAAGGGCCACAAGCACCCTGTACCAGAACAGCACCGTCACAGAGCACAAAGGAAGCAGCAGACACATCCTGTGAACACCGAGTTCTCCTCCAGCACGAAGCAATGACCTTGTTTTGCACAGCTTCAGGGAAAACACTCTGCCCCTTTCCCCTCCCGAAGCATCGCGTCCGAGCGGATTCCCGGTCCTGCCCCGTCCTGGAGGAGGTCACTGATGTTCACTGACAGTCCCTCACCTCACTGCAGGAAATCCAGGCCTGACCTGGGAGCCTGCATCTCTAGCTTTAGTCAAATGGATCCCTCGGAGCGCCTGGCAGCTCGCAGGGCTGGAGAGCCAGGCAGGCGAGCAGGCAGTGATGGAGATGATAAACACCTCTGAAGTGTTTGCATTTGTCATCTGTTTATGGCCCATGTGACAGGATAAACCTGGCAGCTGAGATGGATCTGCCCATTCCCATCCCTGGTGGAGTTCAGCAGGTAAAGAGCTCCGAGGCAGCTCCAAAGCTCTTGATTTCCCAGGAACATCCCCCAGTTTGAAGGAAAGGTTTCTTTCTGACCAGCACCAGGCCCCATCAGCTGCAGCTCCAGGGGCTGTTCTGTGGAGGGGGACAGGGGAGAGGAATTTGGGGACAGAATTGGCATTTTTGGTGCCTCTCTTGGGTGCCTGTCAGCAGTTTGTCACTGAGGACATTCAGCAATGACAGCCAGACAGGCAGGGAGAGTCTCACAGAGGGAAGAGGCTCCAGAGGGATTCCACAAAACAGATGGGAAGGACAAGGGCTCACTCCCAACCAGGGTGGGAAAAAAGGAGGGAGATAATCACGGAATCCTGGGATGGTCTGGGTTGGAAGGGACCTTAACAACCACCTCATTCCACCCTGCCATGGGCAGGGGCACCTTCCACTACCCCAGGGTGCTCCAAGCTGTCCAGCCTGGCCTGGGACACTTCCAGGGATGAAGCTGGGTATGAACCTTGCAGTTCCTGCCTTTCTTATTAAAACTTAAATAGTTCAGCTCAGGGATAGCTGCTGCTCCCTGGAGGAGGGAAGGGCAGGATTTGGATCATCCCAAAGCAAAGATCTGCCTGGAGGTGCTGGGTCCTGGCTGCAAAGCTGCCTGTGCTGAGCCCTGGGCTGGGGGCTCTGCTCCTGCTGCACCCCAGTCGTGCCCTGGCCAAAAAGGGGATGCAAATGGGAATGCTGAACCAGAATTCCAACCTGTCTGAAGGGCAGAAAAGCCCTTGTACAGAAATGTCAGTCACTTGGAAGTGTGTGAGGGGAAGGAAAGCTTCCTCTGACTGCGAAATGTTCCACCCAGAGCTGGCACTCACAGTATGGAACGAGACAGAAATAGCTGAACTATTTCTATGTACGAGCAAAGGTTTGCATGGCAGAGATGAGACAGGATTGGCTCATGTTTCCATGCTCAATTCATAGTATTTTGGGATGAGGAGCGAACGTGGGATTGAATGCTAATGATCATTTCCTTTTTAATTAACAGAGGTCCTACTCCAGGATGTTACAACTGAGCCTGCAGCCCACCCACGGGGCTCTGGCTCCTGGGCTTGGCACCTGAGCTGCTCCTCACTCAGCCTGTCCTGCCCCAGGTGCTGCCCTGAACACCTGAACTCCTCCCTCAGCCCTCCCAGTGCTGCTCTGAACACCTGAACTCCTCCCTCAGCCCTCCCAGTGCTGCCCTGAACACCTGAACTCCTCCCTCAGCCCCCCCAGTGCTGCCCTGAACACCTGAACTCCTCCCTCAGCCCCCCCCAGTGCTGCCCTGAACACCTGAACTCCTCCCTCAGCCCCTCCTGCCCCAGGTGCTGCCCTGAGCACTGCACAGCCCCAGAGCCGGCTCTGCCTGACCTGCCCACCCTGACAGGAGCAAGCAGGGACACAGCTGCACACAGCTGGCACAGGGAGATGGCACACAGCTGCACACAGCTGGCACACAGCTGGCACAGGGAGATGGCACACAGCTGCACACAGCTGCACACAGCTGGCACACAGCTGGCACAGGCCAGTGCTGGAATCCTGCTGCTCCCAGAATCCATGAGCTGCAGGGACCAGCCCTGCACTGCTGCAATGCATCAGGAGCTGAGAGCACAATTTTCCCCCGAGGAATATTATGTTCTTAGATAATGAGCAACAAATCTTCCACAGCTCAGGGAAAGGAATTTTTAAATGTCTGTGGTGGAGGTGGTGTTGTTTTTTGGTTTGGGTTTTTGTTGTTGTTGTTTTTGGTTTTGAGCCTTTTAAAGGCAGCACTGGCAGTTCTGTGTGGCTGAGTTTATCCACACCAACAGCTCTTCCTGAAGGTACAACTTCCCATGGCTGCTCCCTCAGGACTGCCCCTGAGCCAGAGATATGTGCCTGGATGGGACAATTCCATGGATAAATTCCAGGACTAACGTGGTGGAAGCAGCTGCATTCCCAACATCTGCCTTCACAGGAACGTGGCCAGGCTGTCCTTGGCATTTCAGTGGAATCAGGAATACCTACATGGAACACAACTGAAAAGCATCCTGGATTCTGACTGATCATTTTTTAATCACGGGCCCTCCTGGTTGAGCAGTGAAGCACATCCCTGCTTTCATTTCCAGGAAGCAGTGGGAGGGTGGGATGACCTCACTCATCATTAATTTCTACAACATCCTCTCAAAAAGTGTCACCCTCCTCCTGCCAAGGACTCTGCAGTGAGGGACAGCAGGAGCTGGGATGCTGGGAATTCAATTAAAAGAACACAAACCCCTGGAGCTGCCATTTCTCCAAAGATTTTATTGCCATCAAATGATCTGACCAGAACTGCGTCGCTTCTCCCGCAGCCCTCGCTCCTGATGTGGGCTCCTGGGAGATGTGGGAAGCCTCTGTGGGTCCCTCTGCCCCTTGGGCTCCAGGATGAGCCCGGGTCTGACCCCTTGAGCAGCTCCTGCTGCAGGCTGGAGCTGTCCCCCTGCTCCAAGCCCCATCCAGCCCAGCCTGGGACACCTCCAGGGGCGGGGCACTATCCAAACACTAAATGTAATTCCAGACATTTCTTACAGTTCTCCAGAGGGAAGGGGGAATGCTTGTGCTCTCCCTGCCACCAGGAGAGCAGAGGCAGCTGGAGAAGGTTTTTATTGACCTGCCCTGCCCGTGAGCAGGGGCTGCCATGGCCTGGCATCGATCCGGCTCTGGAATTCCCTGCAAGCGCTCCGTGGCCGGCTGGCTGAGCGGGGATTCCCTGCAGCCAAGCCCTGCTAATTTTAGCCTTTGCTGGGGGATGTCGGAGCCAGGCAGCAGCAGCAGCCACACATCAGCTCTGCTCTCTCCTGCCCCAGCTCCCACAGCCACACAGAGCTGCTCAACTCCACTAACGAGCTCTGAATCAGCCCCTGCCAGGAGCCGGGTGATTAATCGGTGCAGACACAGCCAGCTCTGATCAGTCAGCAAATATTAATAATTGATGAACATCCTGAGGTGGTGACGTCACCACGAGCAGCCCCGGGATGCCCTGACACATCAACCATCTGCTCCCACCCCCGTGGGACCCAGAGCCCCGCACAGCTTCTGGGGGAGAGGCTGAGGACTTCCTTCAGCTTCCCTCCGCGTGGCAGAGTGCAGTTTGTGACATTTTCTGCAGTCCCAGAATCCCAGGATTTGGGCTGGGCTCAGCTCAGCCATCCCAGCCCTGCCATGGCAGGGACAGCTCCCACTGTCCCAGTGTCCAGCCTGGCCTTGGGCACTGCCAGGGATCCAGGGGCAGCCCCAGCTGCTCTGGGCACCTGTGCCAGGGCCTGCCCACCCTGCCAGGGAAGAATTAATCCCATGGATCCAACCTAAATTTCCCCTTTTTGGCTTATCTCTGCCAAGGGTCCACGATTCTGAGGCTGCTGGGAAAGACCCCCCAGCATCTCCTTTGCACAGATCTTCACAGCCCAGGGGAGTTACAAACAAACCCCAGCCAAAGCCACATCAGCTTTATGCTGGCTCCATTGGGAACCTCCCACTCAAACCCTTCTGTCCAGGGATGGAAATCCAGGATTTGAAATCTCCCTGGGAAATGGAGACTCCCAAATCCCCCCAGGCCTCCTGTGGCTGAGGGAGCTCAGAGAGGCTGCCATGAATGTCCCTTGTCCCAGCAGGACCTGTGCCTGCCCAGGGAGCACAGATCCCTCCCTGCACTCCTCAGACACGGGGCCGAGGCGGAAGCAAAGCTCCCCAGGAGCCACAGGGAGCCAGGAATCCCTCAAAGCACACCAAAACCACCCCGAGGAGCTCTGCCCACCCCCCTGAGCACGGGGGACAGGACCAGCACTCACCTCCCTGCTTGCTTCTGTCCAGGTAGATGGACACCCTTCGGGCCAGACCTGCGGGGAGACAGGGATCAGGGGCTGGTGCTCAGAGCAAGAACCAGCTGCAAACAGGGACCAGAAACAGCAGCTCACCCTGGAAGAGGAGCAGCAGCACCCAGAGCAGCCCCTGCCCCCCTCCCTCGGTGCAGCTCAGTGTTTTTGGGAAGGCAGCAGCCTGTGAGGAGCAGGCTGAGAGCAGCACAGAGCCCCGTGTGCCTCAGCTGTGTCCCAGCACAGCCAGGACAGACAGGCAGGAATCCTGGCATCTGCACAAATCCACGGCACCACGGGGCTCCTGCCATGCCTCAGGGTTTCCCTGCCCACTCTGAGTTCCCTGTGGAAATGTGTCTGTGCCCCTCCCAGGCAGTGCCCCTGCCCTTCTCCCAGCGCTCACACAACCCAGCCCTGCTCTCCAACCCTCCAAAGGAGGCATTTCCGTGGTACAGATTCCTCTCTCCTTTTCTAAGTGGGAAAATGGCCCTGAAAGTCATGTTCTGGTCATGTTCTGGCTGTTCTCGAGAGCAGCTCAGAGCTGAGGGTGACATTATGACACAGGGGAAAAGGTGGGAGAGGAGGGAAGGAAATCAATAGTGGGAGCAAACAAACTCCAGTAAAACTTCTGAGCTCTGCAGCTTCAGAGATGCATCCTCAGTTTTCTGAGCCAGTGCTGGACCACAGCTGTGGTCTTGGCAGCAGATGACTCTGAAGACTCTCATCTCCACGGGGACTTGCTCCACTTAGCTCTTTTGAAGTGGCTACATTTACTTCTCTCTCCACAAACAGATCTGTCCCTCTCTTCTTCCCAATCTGCTGAGAAGGTGGAAGGCAAAGAAAACAGTCCCCAGACTGCTTCAGTCCACAAGGGAAAGAGAAAGCCAAGGGGAAAAAAAAAAACCCAACCCAATCCTAAAGAGAACAGATTTAAGTTTCCCCAGTCCTGTTCTGGCAAATGGAACCACCAGCTCTCAGAGCTCTCTCAGCTCTGAGCTGTGTCAGACACTGAAAATCCTTTCTGGGTGTTAAATCCTGCCCAGAGTGAGGCACAAGCAGGCTCTGCCCTGGCACAGTGCACATGGGAGGAAGGCAGGACAATGGGATTGGGCTGAATCCTCCTTGCCCAGCACCAGAGGCACGGCCAGGGCAGCCCAGGGGCATTCCCAGCTCCGAGAAACCAGGTCCTGAATCCAGGATGGGAAACATCAACCAGCAGCCAGGAAAGCTGGTGTTTGCTGGCACAGAACTACAGAGTGACACCACAAAGGGCCACTTGTCACCCCTCCTGGGCTCGCTGTGCCTCAGCAGAGCTCACAACAGCCCCTCCTGCTCCTGCTGCCACCTCGGGAAGGGCAGGTTCTGCCATCTGCACATCTCAACTGCCAGCAGCTCCTCAGCAGCCAGGCAGAGCCTCAAACACAGCTCCCCTTCCCTGAGACACGCAGGGAGGTGGAAAGGGAAAAACACACACCAGGCAGCCCCAGGAAAATCCAATGAAAGAGCTGTGTCAGGCTCCTGGGATGAACCACATCAGCTCAGAAATGAGAACTGTCAGCTTTTAAGGTCAGGATGAATGATGATGGTCATCTCATCTGACCTCCTGCTCAGCACGGGCCAGGCAGCCTCATGCAGCACTTCCTCCATCAATCCCACACTTCCATCAATCCCACAAAGTGCTGATTGAACCACAGCACACACAGAAAAACCTGCAGCCTTGATTAGAAATATTCAAGGGACAGAGAATTGCCATTGGAGCATTGGCACCTGATGGGGTCTGGGCAGGATGGAACATCCACCTCCTGGAGTGCTGTAAAACCTCCTATAACATCCCAAAATCTCCTGTAAAGTCCTAAAACCTCCCTAAATGTCCTAAAACAGATTTCAGGGTTACACAGACTGGTTTTCTGGCTCCATCCCACGTGTGGCTGGATGCCAGTGCTCCTTTTACACCCTTTTCTGCCCAGCATTCCGAGCAGGCCGATGTCTCACTGTGCTGTCCTTCTGCACGGGCCAGATTTAGACCACACGTTCCTCTGCCTCCTCCTGACCCACAATAACCAGGGAAGAACAGGTGCCAAAACTGGAGCTGGGGCTACGGGAGGTCACGGGTGCCACCTGCAAAGCTGCACCAAGGCTGAGTTCCACCCTGCCCCCCAGAAACCTCGCTGGGACCCACCTCGTGTGGTTGGCAGCATGTCTGACAGCCCCTGCCAGGCTGTCACCATCTCCGGGTTCTTCTCCAGGTCTGCAAAGTTCTTCCACACTCTGATGGCACCATCGTCTTGGGGGGCACAGAGAAAGAACACAAAGTCACTGCTGGTGCAGCTCCCACAGCTCCTGGTGCACCAGGAGCAGGAGAAGCAGAACTAAAGTCACACAGACCCCAAACCTCAGAGTGTCACTTCAACATTTTTTCTTGGAGTTGTTTTCCCTCTCTCATTTACATCCAAGAAACCTACAGCTTTGTGCTGCTGGAGCTGTTCTGGAGGAGCTTTTCTCCTCCCCTCAACAACACCTGACATTCAGTGTCTCTCCATTTCCTTGACATTCATTTTCTCCAGGATTCATCTCTGGATTGGTGCCAAGGGCCACACAAGTACCCACTCAACACAAAACAGCCCCACAGAAGCAGCAGCATCAAAGCCCAGCCCATCAGCAGCAAATCTTTCAAGAACATTGTGTATTTTTTTCAATTTGCTCCCCACCTGTGGAACTTCTGTGCTACAAATCAATAAATTGAAAGAAATATGTCCTAAAGGCTCTCTCAGCTCCCCTTGCCCCTCCTTTAATTACACCCAACCTGTAGAGTTGAGCAGGAAGCTGGAGGAGCTGTTAAAAACACTCTGCCTGCCAGGTCTGGAATGGTTCCTTGGGAGAGGAGCAGATCTGACTCACAGCTTGGGCTGTGACCAGCACAAGGTCTCCTCATGCAAGCCCCTCCAGCAGCTGGAGAGCTGCTCAGGTGAGATATGGACTGGAGAGAAGCTCAGAACCACCCGAGAGGTTCAGTGCTGAGGCTGAGCCCTGCCTGCTCTACATCGACACAGCACAAGGAACAGAACTGGAGCTCTGTGCTTTGGCTGCTGCACAATTTCAGCTCTGTGCAGCAGCTTTAACCAACTAAAATCACCTTTCCCCAGGAGGGGGTGACCACAACCTTGCAAATGACAAGCCAAGACTCAGATGGGAATGGCTTCAGCAAGTGTTGGACTGGGCAGTCCTTGCAAAGGCTTTGCAGCACCTGCCTGAGAGATGGCAGCAGTGGCAGGAGGAACTCACAGGTGTGATCTGGAAATGGCCTCCTGCACTGAGAGCAGCCAGGGAACAGCAGGGAGGGAAGAGCCAGGCTGGGACCAATCCACGGAGGGGAGAGAAGGAGGTGCAGAGCAGCTCACCTGGGCTGGAGGTGTGCCAAGGCCCCCGTGTGAGCTTTACCTGTGGCAGTGAGCAGCAGGGAGCAGTCCTGGCCGTTCAGGTACTCCATGGCCGTGATCCGCGTGTACCGAGGGTTCCCGTTGTGGAAATAGTCCAGCTTTTCCCCTTTCTCCCAGTCCCAAAAGCTGTGGGAGGAAGAAACAGCAGGTGAGTTCTCAGTTCTCTGTGTGAGCTGTGGAGAGCTGCACTCGTTACCCAGCGTGGGATTTCTCCTTTGGAGTTTGGCATCATTTGGTGAATAACGGAATTATCACGGAATCGTGGAACGGTTTGGACTGGAACCACCTCAAAGCCCATCCAGTGCCACCCCTGCCATGGCAGGGACACCTCCCACTGTCCCAGGGTGCCCCAAGCCTCATCCAGCCTGGCCTGGGACACTGCCAGGGGCAGCCAGAGCTGTGCCAGGGCAGGATTTCAATCCCTGCAGCTGCTGGGAGAGAGGCAGGACTGTCCCTGCTGCCACCCAGCCCTCACCAGATGCTGTCCTTGTCAGCCACGGCGATGCAGGGCGTGAAGGGATGGAATTTCACCACGGAGGGCACGCCCGGGTTCCTGTTGAGGAAGATCTGATCGTCCAGCCGGGAGATGCCTGCGGGGACAGCAGAGCTCAGCCCCAGCTGGGGACAGCCACAGCTCCCCCTGCCCCAGCTGTCAGCAGGACCCCCCAAACCTCCCTCCTGCCAGGAGCTTCTCACACCCTCCCCAGCTCAGTTCTTGAGGTACAAACCAAGAACTGGTGACAAATCCTTCATCCCTCATGCTGGCGAGCAGCCAAAGCCAGGGAAATGCCAGGTTGTGATGAGGAAAAACCAACACTATTTCTTCAAAATACAAAATATGAAAATGCCTTTTTTTTTTTTTTTCCCAGTTTAAAATACAGCATTTCACTGTAGCTTGTGGATTATTTATTTAACCTTCCATTTCAGTTCCCCCAAATTTTAGGTTAATTTGCAAATGAAATATATATTTTCCACGGAGACCTTGAAATGATGGTTAAAGACTTCTCCCATCTTGTCTTGAGAGCAGTTTGCTATTCACAAACAGTGTTGGGACCCCTGACACTGCTGGGTTTTGGCACTCTCTGAATTCATCACACAAACCCCTAAACCCAGGAGACATCCATTCAGCCCAAGTTTGTTTTAGAATGCATCCATTGAAGCTAATTTTCACTAAAAGCTTGTAAGTCTATTTTAATTCTTTTTAATATTTCACGTTTTCATTATTTTTTTAATGAATAGTGGCATTTCAGTCACTCGGGTCAAGCAACCAAATATGAACACTGTCGAGAAAGAGATTTAACTTCTCCAGGCAAGCATGAAAAATCCCCTTCTTTGTATTCCATCAGATCTGCCAGGCCATCTCCTGGGCTCCAGGATCATCTCTGGATTTCTCTGCTGGATGATATTCCGCAGTTTCCCGGCATGGAGCTCCACTCTGCACTCACAGGGCTGAGCCCTGGGCACTTTTCCTTCAGCACACTGGGATTCCCAGCCCTGGGAGGAGCAGCCCCCACCCCAGCCCTGCTCCCGGGAATGCCACGGGGAGGACAGCAGCAGCTCCTGGAATTGTGGCTCTGCTGCTCAGGGCACACCAGCAGGGTAAAAAGAGGAATGCAAATTCCTCAGGAAGCTTCATTAGGTTCCACTTTATTCGGATAAATTCCTGTGCTGAGAGAATTCCAGCCCAAAGCTGCCCCAGAGAGCCCTAAAGATTCAACCCCAGGCTGCTCCTGCTGAGGCAGCACGGGCCTGAGGCACACACACAAATATCCCAAATAAAATGGGATACAAGGAGTAAACAGTGGCTTCCAGAGCTCAGCAGAGCAGGGAAGGTGAGAGACATCCCTGGGCTGTCTCCCGAGCTGGGGGGACAGGTCCAGCAGCCCCAGGGTGTGCCTGGCCCACATCAAACCCTGAGCCTGCAGCTCCGGACCCTTCCATCCCCTTGGAGGCAGAGCCTGAGCTGCTCTGGGGCGAGCAAACCCAGCAGCTGAGAGCAGAGGGCTGGGGGAGCAGCAGGGATGGGGATCAGGGCTAATTGGGGTTTTCCAGCACGGGGGAAGCACGGGAAGCACTCACCCTTCTGGATGATCTTCTGCGCCTGTTTCCTGACGCGGGCGTTGCGCAGGAAGCGCCACTCCCGCTCCTTGCGGATCTGGCTCTCCAGGTCGTGCTCCTCGGGGATCTGCCAGGGCAGGAGCACACACAGACACAAGCAGTGACCCCCAGGAGCCCAGGAATTAGCTGAGCCATGCTGCAGTGTCCGTGGCTCCCGGCCCCTCTGGACGCTGCAGTCTGATCTCGGCACAAGGCTGATTTCTCTCTTAACTCTCCTCGGCTGAGAATCATCACGCAGCAAGCCCGAGATCAGAGAGGGAGCACAGCCCTGCTACAGCCAGCTCACAACACACTGAAATCTTCCTTTTCCTGCTAACCAAGGGCTGCTGGCTGAGCAGGGCACGGATACATTCCCAAATCCCCGGGATGTTCGGGTTTCCACCACCATTTACCAGGAACAGCCCTGTTCAGATTCCCTGCTCTGGAAAACCATTCCCCTGTGTCACCTGGCTTTGATTAGACACAAAATTCCCCTTGAAAACTGGGGAGTGGCCCTGCAGTCACAGCCACTCTGAGCCATTTGATGAGATCTATTCACAGCTCCAGCAGGCCAAGGCTCCCCTCCAAAACCTGTGCTCCAGGCACGAGGCCAGGACAGGCCAGCCCCACGGGATTCCCACCCTTACTCAGAACACAGCTTCCAATGGAATAAACTCGTAAGATCTCACCCCAAACCATGGCAGGAGCTATATGTGAGGGGTTTTTCATTCTTAAAAAATTATCCAAGACTCCCCTGCTCCAGAACCGCCCTTGGATTGAATAAGGAGCTGAGCTACAGGGTCCTGATCCAGCTTCCTTTGATGCTGGTTGTTCCAAAGGTCCTTCCAACTCCTGCAGAAGGAAGACAAATTCCCCACAAACAAACCCTGTTTTCCCTGCATAAGAAAGTCCTTAAATCATCTGCCACTGTTACAAACACTGCCTTCAAACCATGTTATCCTTTGGAAAACAGCTGTGACTGAGTTGGACTTCTGCTTCTGTGAAATAAATAAAAAATAAGAAGCCCACCCTCCACCTTTCCTCCTGGCAAAGAAAAAAGCACTTTATTTCAGCACAACACCTATTAGACAGGCAATGACAAACGACCCCTAATGAAAAGCAGTAAACAAACCTGGGCTAAAATACATCAAAGGAATTTGAGAGGGGAGAGATGACACCTACACCTTAATGAAAATCCAGCTTCTCCAGGAATAAATTAAAGGAAGCCCAGGGAAGAGTCAGAGCACGCAGGTAAAAGCTGTGCTGGCCCCCACAGCCACCCCCTGTGAGGCTCTGGGGATCATCCTGCCAGCAGGGAGGGGGGATCTGTGGAAAGGTGAAGGCCAGCTCTGCTCCCTGCCCCGGACAGCTGCAGGATGGGGACAGTGACAGGTCCCTCGCAGGGCTCCAGCCTCCCCCAGACAGGGACCAGGGAGCACCTGCACCCTCCCAGCGCAGTTTTCCCTCTCTGAGCTGGGTCTCTGCCTCTCCCCGTGGCAGTGGGTGCCAGGAGGGGAGCAGGGAGCAGCTGGCAGAAGGCTCCAGAGGCAAATCCAGCTCTCCCTGCTCAGCATTCCTGCAGCAGCTGCAGGATCTCACTCCCCTCCCAGGACTCCCAGCCAGGGCCAAGGCGCAGCGCAGCAGCTCCGGCAGGGATGGAGCAGGAAGGGCTGCTTATGTAATTCTCACCTTCCAGGATCCTTCCCAGCTCCTGCCTGCATGTTCTGCCAGCCCTGGAAATAACAGATGCTGGCTCCCGCTCTCCTTGACTCAGGACTTCCTGACAGCTGGCACCGAGGCTTTCCTGCGCCCCGTGGCTCCCAGAACAGCCCTGAGCCACGAGGGACTGCAGGAAAAGCTTCTGCAGAGATCAGAGCTGGGCTAGGGACCTGCTTTTCCTGGCACATGGAGAATTTCCAGTGCAGCGTTTTCCTTCTCCTTTTATTTGATTAGATAATCAATAAATCAAACCTGGAATGATGGCTTGAAACGGAGCCCCTGATTTACACTGGAAATTAATCCCTCAGTCTTTCCAGTGAAAGCATTCTCAGGGCAAGGTCCATGAAGCAAAACTAAATCCATAAATTAAATATGACTAAGATGCACTCACAGTCATTTAATGTTTATTCATTACAGGAACAGTTGTCTTTCCCTGTTTATGAAGGCAGGCAGCAGCTCCAAAAGAACGGCTGGAATTAAGCATCAATGTCATTTTTCCATCAGTACTTGCTACACTTTTAGCCTTTTTCATGAGGCTGAAGCTCCCAAAAGGCAGCAGCCACCAGCCAGGACTGTTCCCTGTTGCTGCAGGAACAGGGACTGCAGGAACAGGGACTCCATGGAAACTCAGGCAGCACTCGAGCTGTCAGTCCTGACTTCCAGCCAAGAAAGCTCAGAGAAAGTTCTCAGAGAGACATTTCTCCCTGTCCCTTGCACACACACCAGCCAGTCCAATCCCAAAGTTACCTACCATTCCCTGCTAGGACAGGCTAACACCTGCAGGAAACTCCCTCTCCTTGGCCTTTCAAAGCTGCTTTGCAGAAGTAACAGGGAAATCAACTCTCCCTTGTGTGATTGGGAAACACAGATTTGGTTCTGTTCAAGCTTCAGCCATGGCTCCCTGGGAGACACAGAGCACTCTGGGATTGCAGAGCACTCCCTTTCCATGCCTCCCCTCCCTGGCTCCTGTGAATTAGTATGGGAATGCTGCACGTTTTTTATTGCCTCCCCTAAAGCAATTCAGTCTATTTTATGTGCAGGAAGTAGTAGTAAAGCCACTCCCCTACAGAGCTCCCCATGTCCCCACTGCCCATGCCTACCCTGATTTATTTTATTAATAAAGACCCCCCCTCTTCCCTGGGAAGAGGTTTTCTTAAGGAGCAGACAAATGATTTTAATAACAACTAAGAGCTCACACATCACCTTCCTCCTCTTGCGCTCTGCTCTGAGCTTGAGTCAACCTGGGCTCCTCATCTTGAGGAGAAATAGCCCTGGTGGAAGCTTGGCCAGGCAGCCCAGCCCCACATCCCAGATGTGCCCATAGGAATGGTTCCAGCAGAAAGGGAATTTCACAGCAGCTGAGGAAGAGTCAGGCAATCGCTTCACTGGTGATTCCCTCTGGAAATCAAGAGCCTGCCCTGTTCTGATATCCTGAAACTCAGGCAATTACCTCACCCCAGCACCTGAACATTCCAGGAGCGTGGGGATGATCCCAGCTCCGGTGGGGCAGCACTAAACCCACACCATTTCCTCATTATCACCACCTCAGCAGCAGGGCTTGGACACAAACATCCGCTGTGAGAGGCATTAATGGAGCCTGGGCATCGTCCTTGCCGGGCCTGGCAACCCCTGCAAGAGATGGAGCTCAAAGTCCTGACACCTTCGGGCTCCCTGAGACTCCCAGAGCACCTGAAAGTTGCCTTTAATGAAGGAGATTTACTGCTTGTCCTGTTTCAGACCTAAACCTGAATCCTGAGCTTTGGCTAAAACATTCTGGGAATTTAACAGCTTCTCTTTCCAGTCACTGATATCTTTGCCCATCTCTTAAGAGCTCTGGTTTGAGTTTTTCCTGGAACAAGGTTTCTGTTTCTCTCTCACTTCACACAGACACAACTTAGTTACCCGAACAAGTCACTTCTGAAGAGACCTGGATGCAAATTTGTCATTTCCACACTTATTCTTCGCTATAACACAACTTCTTACATTTTTTTAAACCTTAAAACCCAACAACAATGCTCCCCAAGCTTTCCCCAGGCACTCGTGGGCATCAGGCACTCGCACCTCCTCCTGTGTGAGTTAAAGGTGTCTGCTGGAAGCAGAGCCCAGATCCCAGTGAGGACAGTGGGGCAGAGGGTCTGTCCTGCTGCCACCGTGGCCTCCCCCAGGGCAGCCTCCCTCCACCACTTCTTTTACCACAGCCAGGAGATTCAGCTGGAATGTCAGAAGGCAAACTGCATCTCTCTTTCTGCAGCCTCTCACTTCCTCTTCTGGGAAAAAGGGCCTTCCTTATTCCATTTATTTATTTTAAAAGCCAATTCATTTTAGCTATCATGCCATTTTCTATATGCAGAGGAGCACAACATTTCAGATGGAACAACTCTGCAGCGCAACCAGGCAGAACTGGGGGCTCTGGACACAGAACCTCTCCTCATTCCTACATCTTTTGGGGATTGTGCTCCATGGGGAGCTGAGCACTTCCCCCCTGTCTGTCCCACCCTCACTGACCCCTCTGCTCCCTCCTTCCCTCTTACACGAGCAGCACCATGTAGGGGAAATCCATTCCTTTGCCTCCCCAGCTGGCAGGAAAGAGAAGGGACAAAGGGCCAGGGGCCAGCCCAGCCCAGCAGGGTTACCTTCATGACGGGCTGGGCGAAGTACTTGGCGCTCCAGTCGCAGAACCCCGTCTGCACCGCGGCCGAGATGAAGCTCTTGTGTCCCACGGCATCGTCAGCATCATCGGCTGTCTGTGGGGAGGGGACAGGGCTCACCCACCTGCAGGGCCAGGGACACCCCCAGGGACACCCCCAGGGACACCCCCAGGGACAACCGCACTGCCCCAGGCAGGCACCAGAAAGCTCCAGCCCTGCCCAGCACAGGGAACTCGGCACACGGCTTTGGGCTGGGGCGTTACGGTAATCCTGGGAAAGGTGACCTCAGCTGGAGCAGCCCCGTGGCTCCTCAGAGAGGTCCCAGCAGGAGTTCTGGCACAGGCTCCCAAGGATGTGGTGCGGGGAGCAGCGAGGATGGGTGAGGATGAGTGGATGAGTGTCTGTCACACAGCACAGGACACCCCAAGGGAAAAGGGAAAAGCTGCTCCATTCCCTCGGCTCCCAGAAATACAATCCAGGCTGGTGCTGCCAAAGCCCAGAGAAGGGAAGTTCTGCTGGGGCTGCAGCACCTTCTCCTTGTGGCCACAGCTGTCCCTTGTCCCTGCTCTGCTGGAGAGCAGCCCCGAGGGTCGGGGGCTGACTCTGGGCTGGCACTCGGGCACACAGATGTTTACTGAAGAATAAGCCATGGACTGTGATTAGACACATTGCTTAGTGGCAGAAGTGAATAATGCCCTATCAAAAGCTATAAAACACAATTTATCCTGAAGAAAATAAATAAATCAATTTTTATTTGGCTGGTTAGAGGCAGCCAATCTGGATTAGCAGCAGCTGGAAGCAAACGAGGGATGCACAGAAATAAACCACAACCAACAGAAAGTGGGACAAACCCCAGTGGGGAGAAGCTGTCAGAGCTAAGTCTCCTTACCTGTTCTGGGCCTTTGTCAAACATTTTCCTTGTCCTGGGGAACTGGTGGGAGTGGGGGGTGTACTGGACACCCACGTTGGTGACGTTGGGGCGCACGGACGCCAGGTCCCGGCTCACCGGCTGCTTGGGCACCTCGTTGGTCAGGCTGGAGCTGCTGGTGCTCGTGGTTGGGGGTGACCCTCTGAGGGACAGGACAGAGGGACAGGGTTTGGCCACCACTGGACACGAGGTTTGTGTGTGCATTACGTTCTTTGCATTTTTCTTTCTCACAAGTTTGTGTTTCACTGTGGTGCCTCCTCTGCAGAAACATCACAATTCCTCCAAAGGCCAAACCGACCCCAAACCGATCTGTGACTGTGCCAACTCCACACTGAGGGGATGAACCTTCATGTTCTGGGAATCTGTGATGCCTGACCTCAGTCACCCAGACCAGGCACCGCATTTCCATGGGGGGACCGAAGCTTCAAACCATTTGAATTTAAACTGGGCCAACTCGGAATCTTACTGGTGCACACTGGTTATGGGACCAGCAGATCTAACGTGTGGTGTTGTCTCTTGGAGAGGAGATTTGGGAAATAATCCCGTTTTCAGCCCCCAGCACTCTCTGTTTCCCTGCAGTTTAGGCAGGGTGTGCTGTCCATCAGTTAACCTCAGCTTTTATCAGCTGCAAGTGCAGCAGACACAGCTCAGACGTCAATGGGAATTTGGGCACCACAGCTCAGGGAAGGTGAAAGCAGCCCAAGTCAGCTCTGCCTTTCAGTTCTCTGTTGGACACCCAGCTGGGCTTGTTACTCTTGGCCCTAAAGGAAAATGGGAAGCAACTCCCCACCTTTTCTCAGAGCTTTCCTTCCTGGACACCTCCCCACAGCAGGAGCCACATTCCCAGTCCCCAGGGCAGCTCCCTGGCATGGGGCCGGGCAGGGAGCAGCCACCCCACCCACAGAAGGTTCTGGAAGGCCGGGCTGGACTTACCCCACTTGGTGGATGTGCATCCCCTTGTTGGTGGGGCTGGCAGGGGCCGACTGGGTCAGCGAGGAGGTGTCCAGGATGCGCTGGGGGCGAGCGTTCACCGTGGCCTGGGGAGAACACAGGGACCTGAGCACGGCCAGCCCGGGCAGGGGGAGCTCCCTGGGGGCTCTGGGGTCACACCGAGCCCCTGGGCACCAACACCAGCTGCTTTCACTGCTCGTTTCAGCAGCACCGCTCACCCGAGGGAGCCTCTGCACTCTGAGCCTGCCCCAGCAGCCCAAAGCCAGGGCAGGGGCACAGGCTGGGAACCCTCAGCTGCCCAGGGCTCCTACCAGCCCTTCCCTCATGGCTGAGCCCTGCGGCTCCCACCGTGACTGTGAATGATAGAGCACGATCTGAGCCTGGGGGAAAGGAGGCTCAGGGCTCTGCACCAGTCCCTGGCAGGACAGGGCAGCAGGGTTCTGCTCCCAGGGACAAGAGAACAAGAGGAATGGCCTCAGGTTGTGCCACGGGAGGTTTAGGTTGGGTATTGGGGAAGATTCCTTCCCTGGAAGGGCTGTGCTGCCCAGGCTGTGCTGCCCACGGCAGGGCTGCAGTCCCCATCCCTGGAGGGATTTACCAGCCATGGGGATGTGGCACTTGGGACATGGGGCAGTGGTGGCCTTGGCAGTGCTGGGGGAATGGTTGGACTGGGTGGGCTCAGAGGGATTTTCCAGCCTAAACGATTCTGTGATTCTGTCATTCAGCCTCAAGCCTTCCATTAAAAAACACCTGGACAAAGCAACCTGGGCTGAAGCAAATGTTCCTCTTTAAGACTTTTTGATTTCAGAAAGTCTCTGGAGGCCAACACTGAACCCTGGCTCCTTGTTGTTTGTTTTGGTGCTCACAAAAAGCAGGTCTGGGCATTTTCCAAGGCTCAGGCCGGGAAGGAGAACTGCACCATTCCCATCTGCATCATAAACATAAATCCCAAGGCAGCCGCAGCCTGGGTGAGGCCCAGCAGTGCCTAATGAGCGCAGGGAACAGAACAGCAGCAGATTCCCTGCAGGAAGGCTGCACGCCTGGGCAGCCCACACACCGGCTGCTCACACCCAGCACAGCCCCACAGCCCTTCTGGAGAAACAGATCCACAGCCCTGGCTCCACTAAAAACCTGAGCAGGACACTCTGGTCTCGTTTGGTAACAACAATCACACAATCTCAGAACAGTGGGGATGGAAGGGACCTCAGGAGGTCACCCAGGTCAAACCCCTGCCAAGACAGGCCCACCTGGAGCAAGTGACACAGGAACGGCTCCAGGGGCTTTGGAATGTCTCCAGAGGGGCTGGAGAATGAGACATGGAGAAGAAATTCCCTCCTGTGAGGGTGGGGAGGGCTGGCACAGGTGCCCAGAGCAGCTGGGGCTGGGGGCACCTGGGACAGGGGAAGGTGTCCCTGCCATGGCAGGGGTGGAACGGGATGAGTTTAAGGTCTCTTCCCACTCAACCCATTCCATGGTTCTGCAATGTTTGGTCCCCCAGCACTCTCCAGATGTGGAAGCCCATGGATAGCTTGGTCAGCTGCTCCCCCTGAAGCCCCCAGCCCCAGCCAGGTCCCCCAGGCCACAGTGTTCTGCTCAGCTGTGCCAACAGAAGAAAACCTCAGCTGGCCCAGCTCCAAACTGAAGCCTCTTCTTCCCTGAATTTTACAGTAATTAAACCAAAATATGAAACCCCTGGAACATTCAAGTGTTTTACATCACCTGAGGCAGTGTTTTTGTTTAGGCAAGAAGAACAATTTTTGTTTGCATTTACTGGTAAAATTCAAGCCCCGAGTGGGCAGTGCTTGCACACACTGGGGAGGAGCGGCGCCCACGTCCAGCGCTCCCTTCTACATCCAACAAGCTCCATCAGCACGAAGGAAAGGTCTCAGGACACAGAGAGCAAAGCTTTAATTGTCACTGATTTGCATCAGACACCGGCCAGCTCCTGCCTGAGCTCCCAGCAGAGCCTCGAGCTCGGCCGTGCTCCTGCAGCACCACCCACGGCACGGCCAGAAAGGGGCAGGAAAAGCCAGCCCAGGAGCTGAGCCTTAAAGCCCCCTGAGGTGGGCAGGTCACAGGCTGGGTGCTTTGTGTTTTGGGGGTTTTGTTTTCGTTAAAAAGCCCTGTTAGAAGCCACCCAAGGCAGGTGGTGCTGGCCAAAGCGAAGCCCCCGATGTGCGCAGCAGCCAGCCCAGGGCTGAACACTTGCCTTGTGGATCTCGGGGCTAAGGCAAAGAAGAACAAATCGGTTTTGTTCGCTGAAGCATCCCCAGATAAAAATCCTTGCAAATGGGAATGCTTCCTGTTTTCCAAGCCTGTTGGAAGAGCTGTTGCCGTAGGAAGCAGGGGCAGAGCAGCTGGCCCAGCCGTGCAGAGTGAGATGCGTGAGACCCATCACCTGCGCTTTGGGACTCGGGTCAGCACCAGCACAGCCAGCCCCACATTGCTAGAGACAACACAGAATTCCCCCCAGCAGTGCCAGCATTCCCTGGGGATATGGCAACGGAATGATCACAGCTCCTGCTGGCACAGCAGCATCGATATCAACATCGATCCCCATCCGCCTCCCCATTGGCCAGGAAGCAACTCCTGAAAACCCATTTCAGGCAGGAAAAGCAGATCTGGGTCCTCTTTATATCCCTTTTAATAACATTTCATTTTGCAAAGAGCCTTCCAAACGCAGAACTGAAACAGTTTCATGCATCTAGAGCAGAGAGAGGGAAATCTTCCACCTTTTCCTTTCCTTCTTCCCCTCATTTGGCATCTCCAGCCTGTCATTTGTTGTACCCCTGTCTCGCCAGGGAAGGGCTGAGCTCGCTGCCCCCACTGCCAAGAGAATTCTCTGTCCCAAACCCAGCCCTTACCACTCACTGGCACGTGCACTTCAAACAAACCAGAGCTCAAGCCAGTAACTCCTGTCTCCAGAGAAAATGTGATTTCAAAGCAGAGATCTCTGAGGCATTAAGATGGCAGCGCACAATGCTGACATCTCTTACTGCAGCTCCAGCTCCCCGCCCCAGGCTGAGGATCTGGGATTATTCCCTGGAAAGGCCCAGTAAGAGAGTTCCCAGTGCAATGGCTCATGGTCTGGATGCTGGAGTGGCCAGAAAGGTTCACACAGAGCTTTCTGTGCCCAGCCAGGGGACGCACGGGGTGGGAAGATGTCCTGGGGTGGCCTGGGCAGGGGGAAGGTGCTGCCCCAGGGTGGCACCTCCAGGGACATCTTGTCACCCCCAGGATGAGATGGGATGAGGATGGAGGTTTAGGCACCCAGCCTGGGCTGGGGTGAGGAGTGGCAGGGGTCTGCATGCTGACTCACATGTACTAGTTCACCTGGGTTGGAGAGCCGTTGTGGCTTCAGTCTGCAGGCCAGTCCCACTTGCATTATCTAAATCAGTTTGCAAACGGATAATTTAATGAAGGATACTTAAGGTTTATCCCAGGGACTGATCTAGACAAGTAGACTTCTAAACCAGACCTACAGTCCGAGGTCTGCACCTAATTTATACCCTAAAACAACCCCAGGCCCTCCCCCATTTATTCATTTTACCTGATCAAGTGTTCAGAGCAGAGTTTATCATGGTGAAGCATTAAAAGCTCCTTCTGCAAAAGGCAGAGCACTCCAACAGACCCATCCAGGTCAGCCTGCCTAAGCCTTGCCTGAGCATGAAAAGATCCAGATCCAAGCAGCTGGCAGGCACAGGCACATACCTTGTAGGCAATGCTGTTGAGAACCTTCATGGCCAGGTCGGACACGTCGGGATAGGGGTCAGCAGCCAGGTGAAGGAGCACCCTCCAAATCTGGGTATAAACACTGTTGAAACTCACACCTAGAATAATAAAAAAACAGAACAAAGCCCAAATCCCTGCAGCACATGACAATCCATCAACTCCGCTTCTTTGATCTGACGTGAGAAAATTCATTAGAACTCCAAACAACCCGATGACATCTCAGGGAACATCAAGAGAGGAGCTCAAAAACATCCCACATGGGCATTTTGTCTCCCTTTTGCCTGTCTGTGAACTCTGCGAGGGCTTGTGAAATCAAAGTGAGAGGAAGCAAAATAAATTGAAGACTCCCCAGATCATCTCCAGCCAAACTCCTGCTTTTCCAGGCTCCGGAAGCAAATCACCTGGAAAGGCCGAGTGGATCATGTCTGGGTTTCCTGAGATGAAATACCTAATGGTGTAAATCCACAGTCACTGCCTGAGACTGCTGTGCTTATTTCTATGGAATTGTTCAGGGGTCTGGACACTCTGCAAGTTTCCTAAGTGTTTAAAGCAAAGCTTTAGGAGTTGAGCCCCCAGGAATCAGCGAGTCCAACTCAGTCTTTCCTATTGACATTTGTATCAATTCCTCCAATTTGTTATTTAATGAGCAGATCAGCTGTTCAGTATTTCAGCAGAAGGGACTGACAGATTCAAAGTACAAATCAAATTAATAAGCATTTGCAACAACTGACAAAATTCCGTGAACATTTTATTTTGCTGCTTTTGGGTGAGAATTTGTTATTCTGCCTCCGAAGCCTGCCGGTGTCTGATCGTGCAACGCCCCGGCTGGGAGTGGAGCCATTTGGACAATGTTAAAGTGGTTGCACTAACAACAAAAAAAGAGCTAAAATAGAGATTTCAGATGAGTCACAATCAGTGCTAAATGACAGATCAAGCTGTTACTGCTTTTCCTCCCGTGTTTCTGGAGGCATCTAAATATAAAGTTGGGAGGAAAGGGCCCCTTGGTCACCAAGCAGCTCCTCACCTGGCAGAGTAAAGCTGATCCCTAAACCAGCACAGCAGGCTGGGACAGAGCAGTTTGAGCACTGCTGGGAGCAGCAACAGGCTCCAGGAGCCTGCGGGCTGCCCTTGGCTGCCGATCTGAAAGGGGAACCTTCCTCTGCCCAGATTGTGACAAATTCCCCTGCAAAGGGCCAAGGCAGCCCCCAAAACCCAACCCCTCCCTCTCACCTGGCACCCAAAGGATGTTCCAAGTGACATCTGCTTGAACTGGCACCTGGAAATCTCCCAGGTGTTTCTGAAGGCAGCACCCAGCCCGTGCTGCTCGTGTGCTGGGGGTGGCCCAGGCGGATCCTGCAGCTGATCCCAACCCTCCCAAGGCAGCTCAGGGACAGGGCCTGACAAAGCAGAGAACCCCACGGTGCTTGGGCACTTAAAGCCCACACCTTCCACAATCCCAGGTTATTCCAGCCTGGCCTGGGACACTGCCAGGGATCCAGGGCCTCACCCTGCTGACAGGGAAGAATTTCTCCCCAGTATCCATGTGGCAGAGGGAAGCCATCCCCTGTGTCCTGGTACTCCAGGCCCTTGTGGAAATCTCCTCTCCAGCTCTCTTGGAGCCCCTTTAGGCACTGGCAAGGCTGTAAAACCTCCAACAATGTAAATTGTTATAAGGCTGTAAATTGTAATGGCTGTAAACACATATTTATGCAATATTGTATAATATTTATATAATACCGTAAAATTGCAAAGGCTGTAAATATATAACAATGTTAAATCCTGGAAGCTTCTATTACCAAGGAAAGAAAAAACTGGAGGGGGAAGGATAAAGAACAAGAAGGGAGAGAGGCAAAGTGCTACAAGGAGTGGGAGGAAAAAAGGCTCAGCTCGTGAAGCAGCAGCCAGGTAATGTCTGAGGTGTGCCCAGAGCTGTGCCCAGAGCTCTGCCTCCCACACTCCAGCCTGTTACATAAGGGCCGCTGGGAAATCGGGATGCCTTCAACTCTTTAAAGCCCTTGAAAGAGAGTAAAAGGAAAGGGAGAGGAGGAAGAGTGAGGGGGGCACCCTCTGATTTCCCAAGGGCTCTGATAACCACCTCGCTCACAGAGAAAGAAACCCAGCGACATTTTTTATACATCTAAGTGCCAGGGAAAAGCCAAATTTTAAGCAGAACCGTGCCAGTGCAATTCCCCCTTCACCTGGCAGCCTTTGAGGAGAACACAGGGAATTTCTGCAAAGGCACCTGGGGCTCAGGGCTGCTCTTCCCTGCTGCCACCCCCCAGTCGGTGCAGGACTGACACATCTGACACAGCTCCCTGCCAGCTCCTGAGCTCCAGCCCCTGGGAAAGGGGAGCAGCAGAGGGGGCAGGAGGAACAGCAGCTCCATCTCACGTTCCCAGTGCCCAAACTGTCCCTGAGATGCAAAACCAGGAGCCGAGCAGGGGCTGGCCATTAATGGAAGCAGACAGCTCTGTAATTAGTCACACCGACTCCCAGCCAGTCCAGTGCACCTTGCACGTGTTCACAAAATGATCCCTCTCTGCTAAGAATGTCAAAAATAAATTGCCTGCCTTCTCCCCGAGTTTGATTTTCCCCACACGCGTGGGGCTGGGTTCACCTGCGAGCCCCGAGGACGGGCTGGGCTCCAGCAGCTCCAGGGAGAGCCACGGTGGATGCAAACCCGACTGCTGATGGTTTTATTTATTCCCTTTGATTTGCCAGGCTGGGACAGGGTTTCTTTCCAATCCCCTGTAAAAATCACTGCAGTGATTTCAAGCCCCGACCTCCACAGATGGGGCAGTTCCACTTCCCACCGGCACCGCAGCAAAACCAGACCAATGGCTGCTCCCTGCTCACCTGGCCCCGAGTCAGCTCCTGGGCAGAGACAGCAGTGAAACCTCCAGACAGGCACACAGGGACAGGGAACGCAGCCTTCGGGTGCAGGGAGATGCAGCTGAAACATCTCAGCCCCGAGGACTCGGGGAGCTGCTCCCATCACTGCCAAGCGCGGCTGCTCCGTCCCTGAGCGTCCCACAGATGGGGACACCCGAAATTCCCGGGGCTCTGCTGGGGGAACAGCCGGGTCCCTGCGGGCACAGCTCGGTCCCTGCACACCTGAGCCCTCCCAGGGCCCTGCAGGGGCTCGCTCCGACCCTCGGCAGCTCCAGAGGCAGAGCCGGAGCTTCCCACGCTCCCACAGGAGCCAGGAGCAGCTCGTTATGAGGAGCTTCCTCAGAGCAGGCTCCCCTGGCCAGAGCTGGCCTCACAGCAGGGAGACACAGAGGAGACACAGCCCCTCCCAGCAAATTCCCGATTCCAAACCCCAGCCGAATCCCTGGATTTTTGCTGCCGTTCCCAGTTGCACACACTGCTGGCTGACCAGCTCCTCATTATCTCAGTGCATGAACACAGGGAGAGTGGGAGGCTCCCCTGCCCCGACACTCTCTGTCTCCTGCCCCTCGCTGTCCACCTCCACCTCTGCTCTCCTCATCCTCCCTGCAGCAACCTCCGCCCTCACTCCTAACTCCGAGGCAGATCCTGGGAAATGGCAAAAAGTTCTCCACCCCCAACCTCTCCTGCTGGAAAAGACAACAATTCCCCAGCATTTCATCGCTCCAAGATTTATTTTCCTCCTTCTTTGATCACTCCTGAAGATAATCTTTCCAGTGAAGCTCTCTGTAGGACAAACGCTCTCATCGTGCAGTTTGGATATGAACAATCAGCCTCGAGGTGTGCAAACCCCCCTCTTAATTCCATCCCTTTTCCTATCCTAAAACTGAACATTTCCAGGACACCAAGATTAATGAGTGGCTGTATGGAAAAGCGGCAAGGCTCAGCTTCCCTTCCAAAATGATGTCTTTGTTGACTAACCACAAACTGCCTCTTGCCAGCTGGAAACTGGGCCAGAAATGAATGTCTCTCCTGGTACTGGCCCGTGTGGCCAAGGAGCAGCTGCCAGAGAACACAGAGCTCGGCTGACAGCGAGTGTTGCTGCATTTGGGGAGCCACAATGGGAATATCTGGCCCACAGCTAGCTAAGGAACTGTTTGTAAAACGGGACAAGGAGGAATGGAGAGGTTCTCCTCAAGTCTTTGGCAAGAAGGACGTTGTATGATGCCTCAGTGCCAGTGCAGAGACTGATCCAGAACAATCCCTCGCACACCAAGTTCCTCAAACTGCCGGAGAGGAACAAAGAGCTGAGCATCAGCAGGGTGGGGCTGCTCCTGGACCCCTGGGAGTGTCCAAGGCCAGCTTGGGCTTGGAGCAGCCTGGGACAGTGGAAAGTGTCCCTGCCCACGGCAGGGATGGGCTTTAGGGTCCCTCCCAACCCAAGCCAATCTGGAATTCTGCAATCAGTGAATCAGCTTGGGGAATGTAGAGCACAGAACACAGCTGTGTGTGGCTGAAAATTTCTCCTTTCACTCTTACAGACGAAGATTTCTGCTTCACTTGGAGTCTCCTCACGTGCCCCAAACATCTTTTCCATTGCTCTGGCTGTCTCAGATGCCTGGCAGGGGTGTTGCTGCAGAGCCAGAGCCACATCTCCCCTTTCAGAAGAGACAGAGTAGAGCACAGCATTCCCTCAGTCACAGGTCCCTGCCCCACCGGGCTCCCCCAGCTCCCTGCAGCTGAAGGCACATCAGGACACTGAGGAACGGGGTCAGCCTGGGCTGCAGAGCTCTGGGGGTGGCTGGGGCTGGTGGCATCTCTCCTTGTGGAGCAGGAGACAGGGCTGGAGGATGGTGATGCTTCAGAAGGAATGAGAAAAACCTGGCTTGCAGCAGGCAAATGGGGAGGTAATGGGATTCTGTGCGAGTCATGAATTTTAAACACTTCTCTAAGCTCTGCACTTCCAGCTGGGTCTGAGCTCTTTGATGGAACAGGAGTGAGGGATGCCTTGGAGAGCTGCTCTCTCTTTCCAAGGTTCCCCTCACCACCTCCAGCTCCTCTGCAGAGCCTTTTCCAGCTGTGCTGCACAGCTCCTGTGAGACACCCACCAGCCATCACCAGTGGGAATGGGGAAAACTCAAGTCCTAGCTCAAGATGGAGAGAAATTTCCTAACATCCCTGCCATGCTTCAGAAGATCCAATGTCATTACTGATAATCAAAAGCAAATTAACTGATCAAGTTCCTAATGAACTCATGATTTTAAACTGCCACAGGGGCTCAGTAATTACAATCCCTGAATCTTTCAACTCAGGCGAGCCAAATCACCATTAATTCTCTTAAAAAACAGAGCAGAGGAAATGTTTCTTTGGTCAAGGCAGCTCTGTCACCCAGGTGGTTTCTCCCTGAGTTACTCTCTTTGCACTGATTAGTGAAAATATGGGCCCATTTACTGATTACAGAGGAAATGTGGAGACTTCCCCCAGCATTTCCCTGTGCATGCTGCTTTCCCTGGAAGGAGGCCATTCCAAAAGCCAGGTCTTTCTGCGTGGTGCCTGCGATGTCGTGCCAAAATGGCTCAGATTGTTTAAAAAGCTACAGGTAATTTGAGGCAAAGCTGTTGTGGCCCCCACATTTCTGTGCCTGAATTCCCTGACAGGATTGCAGTGAAGCTCAGAACCGCAGCCAGCAGCTCCCACTCCCATCCCTCCACCGGAGTGACCCAGCCACACACGACAGGGAGAGAAACTCTGTCGGAGCCAGGATGCCAACCCTGCACACAGGCACGAGGGGAAGGGCAGGAGGGTTTGTGCTCACCTATGAGGGAGTTGAGGGAGGAGTAGGAGCTGACTCGTCTCATCTTGTCGATGGTCTCGAAGGACAGGATGTACTCCTCGTTCTCGGGGCTGCCCAGCGTGCTGCTGGCACTGCTGCTCGTGCTCAGATTCCCAGGGGAGAACGCCACCGAGCTTCCAGCTGCCAGGACAGAACACAGATGCTGCAACGAGGACTGAGGGAACAATTTACACCCAGACATAACAGCCCTGCTCTAAATGATGCCACACCCAGGGAAGGAAACTCCTTACCGAGGGGGCAAAGCCACAATTCCCCTCTTTAATACTGAATGATTAAACACAGAATAAGCAAAAGATTGAGTTAAAAATCCACTTATGCTTGGAAGCTGGAAGGCACATTTTCAGTCCCCAGATGCTCAGAAAAATCAATGCTAACAACCAGAAAATTACAACTCATTACGAGAGGGCTCCTCATCCAAGCCCTCGGAGCTGGACAGTTTGGGCTGAAGTGCCAGCTCCTGCCTTGTCCTGCCCGTGGTGTTTCCTGGCTGGCACAAGGGGCGTGAAAAGTGGAAGAATTCTCAAGTCTTACACTCCTCGTTGAGGCTGAGGTTCTGCAGGGACTTGTTGAGGTTCCTGGCCGTGGTGACGGCGCGGATGTTGCCGTAGGAGCTGACGGAGCGCAGGCGCGGCGTGCAGGGCCCGTCCCGCACCGGGGTCAGGCTCCCGCCCTCTGCGAGGCAAGAGCAGCAGTTATGGCTGGAAACAAACCCAGCCACAGCCCCTGGGTTATTTCCCAGCAAATGTAATGAAAACACCACTGATGGGAATGGGAGTTGTCATTCTGTGTCAGGCTAAAGGGGAACGAGGCACAGCAGTGGATCCCGTGCCTCTGCTGGCCAGGCTGGCAGTTTGGGACACCCAGCGAGGCCAGGTGAGCCCAGGAGCCCTGGGGACTCTTCTGTGCAGGTGGGGCTGTGCCAGAACAGTCTGAGGCAGCATCAGCCAGCTCCTCTCTGCTGCTGCTCATCAAAGCCACCTGGATTTTCTCATCACCAGGAGCTATGAGAATTCTGGTTCCCTGACTAAACTTCAGGCCTGATTTCAAGTCATATTTCACACACCACGGCCTCAGAAGAGCTGCTCTGCTGCCCTGCAGAGTGGCTGCACTGTGGTGGGGGCCAATGCTTCCAGAGCATCCTACCTCAGGATTCTCTGGGATCAGGAAAAGCACTGTACAAACTGCATGCAGTGTTTATTTCCTGCAGCAAATGGGGAGGAGCTCATTTTCCAATATCATTCAGTTATTCAGAGGACAGGGACACTAAACCACTCTGTGCAGAGACAGCACGCAGTCTTGTCTCCAAGATTCTCCTGTTATTCTTCAAGATTTCCACAGCGGTTTACATCTAAAGAGAAGGTGAAGTTTGAGATAACTTCACCAGGACATTTCATTCCTCACATAAAGCCACAGACACAGCAAAAGGGATGGGGCCACAGGCTCAGAGCACAGAGCTCTTCCCCTCCTTGTCTGGCCCTCACAGCAGCAGGGCTGGCTCTCGGTGTTGTGGAGCTCTCACCAGGTCAGTGTGACACTGAACATTCAGGTGTGATTCCAGAGGGGAAAAACAAAATAAGCCTGTGTGCTGCCTTGGCCAAATCCTTCAGCCTTGAGCTGGAAAGAATCTCTCTGAACGGGGCAGGAGGTTCCTGGTGAGCTACAGCCAAGGCTTAAGTGGGGGCTCAGTGGAGGATGGATTTCTCCAGTGTAACATCCCACAGGGCAGACAGACAGACAGATCTCCCCTCCCCATCACTCACCATGTCACAACAGAGCTCTTTAATAAATCCCCACCAGCAACAAGCTCACTGTGCTAGGAAAACTCCTTAAATAATTCCCAAGTACTGTCAAGGCCTACATCTCCTGCCCAGCCACAGCCAAGCCCCCACCTGGAGCAGCAGGAGAAGGGAGAGGATAATTCTTCTCCTCCTCTATGAACTGCAAGGCCACGGTGCAGAAATTGCTCTCGTACTGAACCACCAGGTGACTCAGGGCCACCACCAGCTCCTGCAGAAAGAGCACAAGAAACATCTCAGGGCTGCACAGGTGAGAAACAAGGACTGAAGGCAAACACTGACCAATACTGCTGGCATTACTGGGGGGCCATCCAGGGTGATCATTGTCCCTTAATTCAAGGTGTGAACTGCAGAAAGCCACAGGACCCTGTCTCACACTTAACTCCCCACAAGCCTTTTCCAGCTGGACAGGATTCCTCCCCTGTGAGCAGCCTGCTCTAGTGGGACCTGTCCCTGCCCAGGGGCAGCAGGAAACAGATGAGCTTTAAGGTCCCTTCCAACCCAAACCATGCCGGGGTTCTGTGGCTGGCTCTGCCCAAGTTTGTCAGCCTGAACCTGGCCCAGCCCATAGATGTGTGTGGCTACCTCAGGGGCTGGGGGCTCTCAGCCCACCCAGCCCCTCCAGGAGGCACCTCCTGCCTGGCCCCTGGGAGCAGCAGCCAGGACACAGAGCTGCCTCTGGCTGCTGTCTCTGCTCAGGGACTGATCTCCCAAGGAGAGATTTATGAATCTCACAGAGCATTCAGTGTGACACACAGCTCTCTCCTGAATTAAACTGATTAAATGCTGGAACGAGACAACAGAAATGAATCTTTGCCGTGCCGGTGACAACTGCCAGGGTGTTGATGTTCCAGTAAAGTAAACACAAACATTAGGACACTTCAGAACAGCCCTCAAAAACAATCCACAACGTCAAAAACCATTTAATGTACTGTTGATGTACGATGGTGCATCAGAAACCGTAACTCTCCCAAAGCTGGAGAGCCACTCTGGAGCAGCCTGTGATCCATCCCCGGGGCTCTAAAGGTGGGGAGACCTTTCCATGGAGCAGAGCTCAGCACAGGGAAGGCAGGGAGGCAGCAGTGGGGAGCAGGGGCTGGGCCCAGCCCTACCTTGCGGACCATGGGGCTGCCGTCGTTGATGAGCTGGGCCAGCATCATGGCCACGTTGTGGTCGATGGTGGTCGAGTGGTCCGTGCGCTCCGCAGAGTTGCCCACAAAGGTCCCCAGAGCAAAGACAGCGGCACAGCGAACCTGGGGACACAAACAGCCCTGCTGTCCCCTCTGCTGCCAGCGGGGTTCCGCTCCTCCCCAGAACGGGAGCGCCGGAAACCCAAACTCCTGTGCCAGGTGAGCGGGGAGCCCGTGGGGAGCAGCACCCCCAGCAGCCTCAGCAAAGCCAGCTTTGAGCGTTTGCAGATGCAGGATGTGTTTAATTTCCCAGAATACTCAGTTGCCTTCCCGTGGGGGACTCCTCCAGTTGGTGTTGCCTTGAATATTAATTAACAGGAACGAGGTACACACAGCTCCTGCTGGGATGTGGGTATTTTATAAGAGTGCTGACTACAGTCTTCAGGGATGGGCTTATGGGAAGGTAGATGATGGAAAAAAGGAGAAAAATCAGGGAAAACTGTGGAAAGCCACCCCACCTCTGCAGAAACACTGCTCAAAAGTGGGGAGGACCAGGCCAGGAGCAGGAGGAGGAGGATGCAGGACAGAGACTGGATGTGGAGGGGAGTCTCATCTCCAATCTCTGCACGTTATCTGAGCTGTTTATCTCAGCTCCCTTCTCCCAGTGTGTGTGCTGGGTGTGATGGGCTCTGTCAGTCACTGCCAGGCCCTGCTCAATCCCCCCTCTCCTGGGAGTGTCACAAAGGTAAAACACAGCCAATTAAAGATGCATTTCCACAATCAGCAGGGGGAGAAGAGTTTTCATACTTGGACAAAAAGACTAGAGGGTTTTTTGCAAAACACAGTGAGCTTTGGGACCACATTTTTAACAGCTTCTGATATGCAAGGAAGCAAAAACCGTGGCATTTCCTAACTGCAGTGTCCCAGGGGTTTGGGGCTCTATGAACTCCCTCTGCATTTCTTTGGAAGCTCCTCTTGCAGGGCTTGTTGGATTTGCATCACCTTGAAGAAACAGCAGCAAGATCTTTCTCTGAACCAGACACAAACACAAAGCTCCAGGAGGCCCTGCTCTGCAGGAACTTCTGTGCCTTTTACCAAAAGAGCTGGATCTTTACCTCTGGGATTGGATCTGAGAGGAGGCTGTAGAGCTTCTCATGGGCACTGTCTCTCACTCCACACCACCTGGCTGAGTCGAAGTTCTGCCAGATCCTCCCCAGACAAATGGCCACCCACTGCCTGAGGAGCGGGTGGGGATCGTTCAGCTGCTCCAGGCAGATCGCTATCAGGTTCCCTTGCAGGCAGGCTTCCTGCAACACAAACCAAGCCTTTGTTTGGGATGACAGCTTCCCACCTCATCCCCACAGAACGAGATATTTCTGAAGGAGTCAGGAAGCCAAGAGAAAATAATCATTCAGTGGTTCCAGACTGACTTTGTTACAGAATACCAGCAGTATGAAGGGAAAGGCAGTAGAGTTGATGAAATAATTGAACATTAAAATGCTTTCTGTAATGCTTAAAGCTTGTTTTTTCCTCTTTGGAAACATTCCTTGCACCTGTCAGAGCCCCAAGGTTTATGGATGAATCCACAGACCATTCCCAGCCATCAGGTTCCCACTGGGCAGGATCAGGGATCTTTCTGTGCCAGTGGCTGTGAAGGGACTCTTGTCCTTGTCCCCCACTGCCAGGTGCTGGGCACACAATGTCTGTCACATCTCCAGGCCAATTCTTCTCTTAATCCACACAGAAATAACAAATACCAACGTCCTAGTTCTGTTTCCAAGTTCAGGTTTGGGCTTTAATGCCAGCCAGGACACTTTTACCAAAGCAAAGGCGTGAGGCAGAGAGAGGTGGGAGAGGATGGAGGGAAAAGGCTGCTGGGACTCACCTGGCCAGTGTTGTAGTTGTTGACAATCACAGCCAGGATGAAGGCTGTCATGGTCCTGTGCTCAGCCTGAAAACAAGGCAGACTGAGGGTTACCTGGAGAACAGAGCAGGGAACAGCTACACCCTGAAACATGGCATCACCCAAGAGCAGTTTGTGCCACGTTAAAAGAATGACAAAATTCCAGCTCTCTTTCCCCTTTCTTGGCATCAGCTACACCCCAGACACTTCCCCAGCATCCTCCCAGCCTCCTGCCGTGGGGAGACCCCCACACACCCCTGAAGGGAGCCCAGCTGCTGCAGAGGGAATTGCCAAAGCCATGGGACAGCTCCCTGCTCCTGCAGCCACCCTGGAGCCCCACCCTCACACAGACCCGGCTCGCAGAGCTGAGTTTGTAACTCAGCCTTGGCTGGTGTGGCTGCCTCAGCCACACAGCCCAGCACTGACTGCCCAGCACAGCACTGGGTGCCACTGGAGGCAGCCCCACGTGGCCCCAGCACAGCAGTGAAAACAAGGCAAGCAAAGGCCACAGGGTCTGGATAAATTGTCCTTACTGGCATGTAAGGATCTGCCAGGACTGAGAGGAAATACTTGTGTCCATTGTCCTTCACCAGGTCAGCCTGGCACGACTGCAAAAGAGACCAAGAAAACCACAGTGAGAACCACAACACACATGTCTGTTCCTCCAGGATAAACCTTTCATTTCTTAACCACTTCTATCCAACCTTGTTTTCATCTGAGAAGCCAAATAAAGCTCAAGCCCTTCCTGGGGGCTGCAACCAGACAGTCCCACAGGGCCAGAGCAGGCTCTGCCACTCCCAGAGTGCCACAAACAGCAGCAAATGGGAGCTCCTGCTCTGGGGAAGAGTCGAAGGAGCCACATTAAAGCTCCCCAGCACTTTGATATCTCCTACTCAGCCAGCCCAGAGCGCAGAGCAGCCCCTGGGGAGCACAAGGGGGTTCCTGGGGAGCTCTGAGCTTTGCTGACACTCCAGCTCAGGCTCCAGGCTGATGTTCCAGGGTCACTCCGGGAGGATCCACATGGAGAAAGTGAAAATGGAAGGGAGGAAAGCCCAGCTTGGCATCAGCTCCCTGTGGCACAGCTGTGCTGGAGACAGGATCATGCATTTTTCATCAGGGGGAGAAGGTGAAGGAGGGAACTAGTTGCTGAAAGGGGCGGGGATGGCAAGGCAGAGATGCAAGAGAATATTTTAGTGCTGAAGAGAGTGAAGCTGCTGGTTTTGGCAGAGCCAGGAGCAGAGGGCCTGGACTGCTGCCAGGCTGCAGCTACCAGGGCTTCCCCAGCTCCTGCACGCTGCAGGTTCCCTGTCCCCTCTGCTTCCAGGATCAGCACCTCTGCTCCTCACACAGCCATTCCCAGGCTCCCTGTCCCCTCTGCTTCCAGGATCAGCATCTCTGCTCCTCACACAGCCATTCCCAGGCTCCTCTGCAGGCTCCAGCAGCAGAGGGGAGCCAGGCCACGCTCCTGGGGCTCCCAGGGAGGCAATGCCACAAAGCCAGAGCTCACCCCCTCCCTGCTGAGCTCTGGGGAACCACACGGGAGCCCAGCGCCACTGACACCTCCTCCTCCTCCTCCTCCTGGTGGAATAAACAGCTCCACTGTGAGTAATAACACAGCATGACCAAAGCAGGCTGCAGGCTTGGTGTGCAAGTTCAGAACTGACAGAAAATATCCTGTTTGCACGGAGCTGCTGCCTGTCCCCTCCCTCAGCAGTGTCCACAGCACTTCCCTGGGGAGCCTGCCCCCTCCTCCCTTCCCACTCCCACCACGTGCTGGTGGAATGAGGGAGTGAAGCAGCACAGAAAAACCCAAACCCACCATTTCAGAGTATTTATTTGTGTTTTGCTCTAAAGCTCAGCCTGCAAACAAGTGAGGCAATGCCAGAGCAATGGAGGGAACGTGTGAGGGGCAGAGGGGAAGAGCCCAACAGCACCTGGGAATCTCACCTGAGCTCTGGCACACACCTGGGGCTGAGCACCAGCCTCAGTGCACCACAAATAAGCTTTTCCAGAACAGCTCCAAGATGAATAGGTTTTATTTTATTTGCTTTCCCAAATCCTCTTAGGATGTTAATGAAAATATTGTTATAAAGCTAAACCTGACAATGCTGGATCGACAGCAGGAAAACCTTCACAAATTCAGTGCAATGCTCCAGACTGAAAAGGAGGAGAGACACAAAAATAACCCCCAAAGAGGAAAGATCCAACCTCCACAGCACTTCAGACATTCCACATGGACTTGCAATTGTCCCTGAATTAATGTGTGCACCTCTCCTAATAATTTTATAGCGCTCAACTAATTGCACCCACAAACCCCTGAGTCAGAGATGCAACTCCACAAATTTATCTGCAATTACTTACCAGCTTCATTAGTGATCTGAAACCCCAGCAAGCAGAGCTCTGGCTGAGGCCCAGGAGCCAGGCTGGGGCAGGAATACTCACACTGTCCACTGCCAGGATCTTGGCCCAGATGAACACAAGGAGAGGTCTCAGCTCACGGGCTGAGCTCTGGAGGAGCTTCAGCACATAGGGGAAAATGCCAACAGAGAGGGCCTGGGAGGGAGAGAACAAATCCCTGTCGGTAAAACCCTGGCAGCAAACCCCCCTGGCAGCTCAGCACCCCAGCAGGGCCCGGGATGCAGCATCTTTACAGACACAGCTGAGAAATCTGGAAATCATCTCCCACGTTTCCAGTAAAGAGGGGATCCCTGCGTGTTCATCTGCTGCTCATTTATATCCTGAATGTCACCAGGTATTTTCATTTGGTCCAAGGAGACTCTGAGTTAATCCAGCACCAGCTTCCTCTCCTCCCAGCCTGTTTTGTGCTCCATATCCTCACTTCCCTCAGCTGGGGCTCTCCCAACTACACACGTCACAAATTCAGGAATTCCAGCCCTCCCACTGGAAATTAACAGGTCTCTCCAGGAGGAGGTAAAGCAAAGCACTAAAAAGTCCCATCATTGAGCTGCTCCAGGACCAGCTGCTGCTTCATCTTGATCACTTTTATCAACAAACAGCTCCATTTACGGGAGTGCTTTAAACTGCTCCTCTGTTTAATTCTTATTTATGCTCCACACTATGCTGCCACTTCCCAAACTGCAGATTGCAGCTGCTGCCTGCTCAGAAGAGCTTGTAAAATCCAGACACCAAACAGATAAAGGAGCCAGTAAGCTGAAGAACACATAATAAATGCACATGCTTTTTTTGGCTACTTATTTTATATGATAAACCTTCTTACCTGCCCCAGATATTTCCTCTTGGTTTGTCCCTTACATTATTTTACACTTAAGCGTTCCCAGGGAACTCCCCTGTGCTGTGCTGGAAACGAGCACGGGGCTGGCTGTGCTGAACCTCTCTTGTGGCAGGGCCACTCCTCCATTGCCCACACACGAGCTCACAAACGCGGTCATGTGTCAGATGTGAGCATTATCCTCCCCAGCTCCCTCCCCTAAACCAGCAGCTGCTGAGATCAGCGCTGCTGGGACGAGCAGAGGGTTGGAGCCCACGTGCAGCTCCCACGCACCAGGCTGACAGCCCAGGGCCCCAGGTCCAGGAACCTCCCCAGCAGATCCAGAGCTCGCAGCCGGTGCACCTGGCTCAGCAGCACCTGCGGGGCAGAGGGAGGGGGTTATTGGCCAGGGAAACACATCCAGGGCGTGCAGGGCACAGGGAAGGGACGCTGGCAGCCCTGGCAGCCAGCGTGCTCCTCTGTGAAAGCAATCCCCGAGGATTGCAGCTGCCTTTCCCAGCCCGGCTGGGGATGGTTCCTGCAGCAGGACCCGGAGGGCAGCCACAGCTCCCAGAGCTCAGCAGCACAGGGACAGCCTTCGCTTTCCTGGGCAAATCGATATCGGAGACTTCAGAGGGAGCAAAAGGTCATGTTGATCGTTAATAAAAATCTCATTAAAATGGAGTCTGACAATGCTAATGAGGTGGTGCTTTACTGGCTTATACCTACCCTGGTGTGAAATATTAACAGATAGACTTGTAGTTCTTAATCTCCTTAACAGATGTAAGATATTGGAATGCGACGTTTAATCCTCAGTTTAAACTGAGGAACATCCTTCAGCATGGATCTCAGGGAAAGAGACTCCTTGATTTACCTCCCCAGTTCCATCCCCTCCTCGCTGTGTTTGCACACTGCATATTGAAATTAGATTATTTTTCATGTTTAATATTGAAGAATAACTAAATTACTTGGCTCACGTCTCACACTCTGGATGACTGGTGCTGGATGCTGAGGTGGTGCAGGAGAAGCCCAGAGGAAGCAGGGGGATGTGGTAACTACTGCTGTGTTTCACTCTGAGTATCAGAGCTTGGGACAGGTCATCAGAGGAAGGATTTTGGTCACCCTGCCCTGGCTGGCACCAGGTTATTCCATCAGCCAGCCCAGGAGTTACAGGGCAGCTGTTTGGGATTAAAGCAGGGGCAGAGAGCAGGGCAGGTGAAGCTGGAGCAGGAGGCACAGACGTGGCACAGGGGGACCCTCCAGCCAGCAGAGAAACCAAGGAACTCCAAACTCTGCCAAAAAGGGAATTGATTGAAAAGGCTGTCTGGGTGGAGATACAGCCCCCAGCTGCACTCTGACTGCTGCCCTCCCTCAGGACATCCCCAGAGCAATCCGTGTCTGACTGGAAAAGCTCCGTTTTGCCATTGTCCAGCCCAAACAATGCCCTCAGTCCCGCAGGATTCCCCATTCCCAGCCCCCCAGTGGATCTGCACAACCCCCTGAGCCCAGGCTGACACACATTCCAGAGCCTGGGGTGAGGATGGGGGGTCAGTGCACAATCCATTCCTCCTGGAATAACGGGAGTGTTCGTGTGGCACCCGGCACACACGGCCCCGCGTCACCGCGCTCCCTCGCGGAAAACGGGAGTGAATTCCATCCACACATGCAAATTAGGGACGAGCCAGGACACAGGGGGGATCATTTACGTGCCACAGCCCATATTTTAGCAGGCAGCTCCTCACAAAGGCAGGATGGAGTCAGGGCCTGCGGGATCTCCACGAGCCCTGTGCGCACGGGAGATCCCAGAGAGCGAATCTCCGCAGGGATCGAGGCTGGCCAGGCTGGCTGTGCTCCCTGATGGGGTCTGAAAACAGACCAAAAAGGGTCTGAAACTCACTCCCTTCCTGCCCTGCATCGGCTGGGCTTGGATTCTCAGCATCCTCAGACCTGTTACCAACCAATCTTACTCCACTGTACAATTAATACGCTATAATTATAACAACAATTACGCTGTCCCAGCTGGGTTTTGCTCCAGGCAGGAACACGGGTTCCTTTGCCAGGTGACCTCTCAGTTCCACTGCAGTCACGCTCCTGCAGAGCCTGCTGCTGCCAAACAATCCACTGGAAAGAAGCAAAGTTGGAGCTGGAGCAAAATCCTGCCTGCTTCCATCGCAGTGACAGAGACAAACCACACATCTGCTTATCCACCTCATCTCTCAAGGCTTGGGAGACTCAGGAAATTAAAATCTGGTCTTGCAGGGATGGATGGTGCTGTCAGTCACAGACCCAGCTGACAGGGAAGGGGAGTCTCCTCACACATCCCTGTGGAAGGGACTGGGACCACATCCCTTTGGAAGAAAGGCTTCAAATTGTGCTGCTGGTGGTACCCGGGCCGGGGTTTGTGTTTCTGTCAGCAAAACTCCAGGGGAGGGGAGACCCCTGGTATTTGTGTTCCCAAAGGCCATTGGGTCAGCAGCTCGAGGCTGAGGGGCAGGAGAGACACAGACATGTGGCACGGGCAGGGAGAGACAGGGACACCTCTGGAATGGGCAGGGAGAGACAGGGACATCCCTGGAATGGGCAGGGAGAGACAGGGACACCCCTGGCACAGGCAGGACACCCCTGGCACGGG